TATAACATCAAAGTTTCCTCCAAGTTCCCAAACCTATGCTTCGACTGTGTTGGCACGTCATGATTTTCAGAATGAAAAGATTGCGCGCGCAATCGCTAGGGTTATATATAGATATTGCAAAAAAGCATGATAGAGTGAACGTCGAATGGCGATCAGTGATTGCACGACCGAACCGAACTGTGGGTAACATCTAAACACGTTTGATTGGAGTAATTTTATTGGTTTTTTCAAACTTCATACAACACTAAACTTGATATCAAGAAACATTAGTCATTGCAAGTTGTCAAGTTGAAACACATTTTAAAATTAGCGAACAAGCTTTAAGCGGTTTCCAGTTTATTTGCATTGAAAAAAATAATGCAATTTSTAATATTGACAAATAGTTTATGTAGTACCTTGATGTACCGTCTTGTATCTGTTTAAGTGCGCGATTCCGTGCATAAAACCAGAATTGTGGGATTTTGTTCCAAATCTGGAGTACATTTGATTGCGCTTACGATTCCGCCAAAAAGCCCGCACATGCATATTTGATAAGTTAGTAAATCATAAGGCTATAATGATCGGTCATTGTTGCGCCCTCACATACATTCCAGGCTGCAGTTTTCAACTGGCAAAAAAATAACCATTAACCRCTGAATGTGGGAGAAGTCAGATTCCCCTACGCTGAATAKACCTCTTCGGCTTGGGGTAATGTTTTTTTCCATTTCAGACCACGTGTCATTCCCTTGAGAATAAGATTCTTTGTTTGAGCTGTATCCATATTCATGTCTCTTTTCATGTGCAGCAGAGCGCAAACCTTAAACAAAGAAATGATACTCTAGGGAATGACATGTGGTCTGAAATGGGAAAACATTACATCAGAGCCGAAGAGGTCTATTGGTGGTGTAGCGAATTGGTTTTGTGAGCGAGGAAAACCAGAGAACCCGGATAAAACCCCTCGAATGAGAGAGAGACAGAGACCTAACAAAGTTTACTCACATGTGRTATCGAGTCCAGGAATCTAACCCCTCTTAAGTGCTCTACCAATACACCATCCTTTATTTAGAAAAATACTACCCAGAATCGCGGATATATCTTTGACAGGAACCGACTAAATTATGCATTTGGTAATAATCTCAATTCAWCATACCTATTCAAAAGCGATACATTTACAGTAATAAATGTTCGTTCTTAGTTTAAAAACACAGATAGTCAAGGGTAATTCTTGATGACAAGTTAATATTGGTCTATTCCTCCAAAAGCGATGCATTCTAAAATTGTCTTTCTTCATTCTCTATGTATAAGAGGCATTTCACGAAGATAGCGTGACCCTGTCGTGGATAAGACTAGTTTTCGTTCACCGGGGGACACCAAAAACAAACTAATTAGCCCTATAGCAGTAGGGTCACCCAATATTCAAGGAAACTGCCTCTAAACAACAAAGCAMGATTTCTGTATCATGCCGACTTGTTCTTTCCGTCTGGGCTAAAACAATAGCGCTGTGTTTCCAATAACTTCCGTGTTTGGGTACCTTATTATTGGTTTCCTTATTTCTCTTCTTATAGAGCAGAGAAATCTAAATAAAAAAAACTTTGCAAAGCAGGGTAGTGTATGGGCGTTCCTTATCTGAGGAAAAGCAAGAATAAGTCTTAAGTCCCAGATATGTTGTTTAAGTCTACTTTGAAATAGTCWTGTTTTAAGTCCACTTAACCTACGCGGGCTCTAAGCAGCCTTGCCTCTAAGGAACTCTATAAGGAGCCAAAAAACCGCTGAGAAAAATACGTTAGAGAAAAAGATGTTGTCTGAAAGGAACTATATATCAGATGATTTATTCGTGTATGTAGGAAGATCAAAGYGCCGGTAGTATAGATAGAGCTGAGTTTGCTATCGTGCATTTTTTTTCCCAGTTTTGTACC